TGCCAGGAGCCCCGTTCGTAGCGTCCTTTGCTCCTAGTAGCGATGCCGGGAGCCCCGTTCGTAGCGTCCTTTGCTCTTTGTAGCGATGCGGCCCGGCTTTGAACTCATCGTGGAATTTGTCCTCATATTGCGCCTTTTTGCGGTCAATACCTTCACTACGACGACTACAACTATGACGACTACGGCTGCGCCTACCTCAAGGACGACACAACGACGACAACTATTACGACTACTATGATTACAATGACAACTGCTACTACGTGATGGTCGTCGTGGTCATAGTCGTAGTTGTCGTCGTGAGGAGTGATGCATGGTGGTAGTCGTCGTCGTAATCGCGCTGTAGTAGTCGTAGTTGTCGTAGTCAAGGTATTTGCATGTACAGTATTTGCAACTGGACGCAAAACGCAAATAAGATATCCATGTTCAGACGCAACTAACCAAAGAGGGCCCCCGACAACCAAAAACTGCAGCACCCCAAACCCAATCACACAACCACTGGATAGTCTAAGACTGGTGATGAACGGGGACGTCACGCTTGTTGGATGAGCCTGAGCCTTGCATGACAAACTTTAAATGAAAAAAACATCATTATATACGTGTTTCTTGTTCGGAACGGAGCTCCATACAAGTAGCTAGTCTGCTAGATCCCAACGTGTGAACGTGCACCACCAAATGGAAATGCAAATGGCCGCATCCGAATACAACGACTGCCTGATGTTAACCGCCAATGAGAATGGCAAAGATCCCGATCCACCCTTTCTGGCGAGTCCAACGCCGTGGTTCAACCAGGTCTAGAGTCGAACAAAATACGCCAAGGGACCGAACGCGGTCACGGCAATGCAGTGGGCAACCAATGAACCGCCAATCCCGAGCTAAATGCTAAACCAAACAAACATACCAGGGCAATCCAGGGCACATGAAACCGCATGGTAGGCAGGGTGTCTTGGCAACCCCCTAATTCATGGTCAGAAAGCTTCCCTCAAGCTAAACGAATCAATATACATACCGGAAAGCACACACACTGGCAGAGCATGATGTATATTAGATATTGCCCACAAAAAGTCAAACAAAACTGCCTTTCTCTCCAGCTGAACACATGTAACACTGACTAAAACATGGCGCAGCCAGCTTCTCAACCGACCGGAGTGGCAGTGAAGCTGCGCTTCGACACAGGAGTCTGCAAGCGGAGGTTGCGCTGAAAACGGAAGCCCCGCGGAAGGCTTGCTGGCGATCGTGCCAGGGTCTTTCATGCGTGGAAAATTTGCATGGCAAATTGGCAAGACTGATTCCTTTTGCTAGTATATCATGGGTTGGAGGCCGCCTCTATTAGGGTGGAGGCCGTCGCTACTGGAGGTCAGTGCTATTTGGTTCGTTAAAGAACTGATCGAGTAGCAGCTTGTTGCGAGGTCGCGTCCGGCTTTGTGAACCGTGTAGCAGTGTTGCTGCGGCCGGGCTCCACACACGTGCCCGATGGTGCTGGTTGGCAAAGGTGTGAAGCAAGAGTCAGGTGCTCAACACAAACGTTCGCCCGGTTCAAGGATAGCCTACTAATTTATGGCCACCTGTGCCTTCACAGCGTTCAGCTTGAGTGATGATGGTGGCTCGATAATGTCCGATAGTTGAAGTTGAGTTGATTCTTTAAAGTCGCGTCAGATTTTGAGCGTCAAACAACTTGTGATCATCGTCTATTTCCTTTGAAGCTGCGCATTGTGAGCTCTTTTCGTGCTGAAAAGGTCCGCTGAATCGTGCATTCGTGTAACAGAAAGGTGTTCGCAGCGTGTAGCTGTTTCAACGAGGGTGGGAAAACGCAATGAGATTGATGACGTTTGGTAACGATTTCCACCATTTCATGGATACAAATCCCGTGAAGATCTAGTGAATTTGCATCACTTCAAACAAGTGTTTTCAATCAAACATGGTGGGTTGAAACTTCGGGTTGAACACATTCGAGCTCGGGGCAGGCTTCGGGACTCGATTGGTTAGGTTATGCTGAGTTATGCTCTTGTAAAAACATCGGAGCTATGGTTGTGAGGAGACCAGACGCGATCCGGCCTGTACTCAAGAGGATTGCTTTAGGCACATGCAGTGCACCATAGTGCACCTGACTGGCAGCGCTGACAGGATGCCGCCACGCGAGACCTGCGGAGACATGGTTTGCAGCATGTTTTTGCTGCATGTTCGAGGATCCTGCGCGCGGCGGCAGCTCAAGTCAAGAACAGCACCCAAACGCTTGAGGTTGTCCCTTTTTTAAAGCACAACTGGGGCAGAGGCCCAAACGGCCTTGCAGCAAGCCTTGCGGTCGCCCCACGAGGAAATAAAATTAGTGAACAAAGCGTGCGGGGACAGCTTCGAAGGCTGCAGAATGGAACAGGAATGAGGGAACGTGTTCTGTGACCCGGCGAGATCTCTAGGGTTTTGTGGGGGGGGAACGCGTGACCAAGCACAAGAATGGCCAAAAGGCAGTAGTGCTCAGGCTGACGGCTGCCCACTGGCAAAGTGTCGTCTGCAATGTTTGCCGGATGGCCCAAGGGTGACTGGCCGCTTCAGCTTCACAACGCGCTGGCCATGCGGGGGTTCTAGGGCGTGGGGGTGGTGCAAGCCCGGCAAAGAGGTGGCGACCGAATGTCTTTCAAGGGCTCGTCGCTGGGATAAAAGGTCGGAGGGCGGGACGCCACCACCGCGCGTGGAGGTGGCTCAATTTTGCTGCCACGAAACGTTAAACCATGGAAGCGTTTGAAGAGCGTTTTGACGGTTTTGGCCATGAGACATCCTGGCGAAACTGTGGACATGGATGCCACCGAGAGTAAAGCAGCACGCTCTGCAAAACACTCTCCAAACTGCAGACTGAGCCAAGGAGAGAGCAGCAGTGACTAGAATTTGGGCAAATGATTGGAACTTGGAAAGCCACTTGCTTACAAAAGCACTCCAAACCCTCGGCCGTTTCACATGACTTCGAGACAGTTCGACTTATTGTACTAGAGTTTACTAGAGCCTCTGTATCAGTGGAGCCGGCCATAGCTTGACCTTTGGCCCTCTTGGCTGTGAACCACTGATATGGCTTGCGAATGGTAGCGGCTACTGCATTTGGCCATGCTGCTCCACAAAGCAGGGCTCAATCCGTTGCCAGTCAGCGCCGTTGCGCTTCATGAACTGAACCGATCAGCAAGTGATCTGAGCTTTCTTGTCCAACGTATGGCAAACACGAGCCAACTTGAAGCGTCCAGAACGGTTCAGAACGGTTCGCCACAAAATCCAGCTGAGGTGGAGATCCACCAGGCTTAGGAACAGCTTGATGAGTTTCTGTAAAGCGTGACACTCTGAACGCTCCTGATCGCACTGTCGGAGCTGGGCAGCGATGCGAACTGCTGTCCGTCAAGGCGAGGCTACAAGGCGAGGCTATGAAGCATCCTAAGAATTGGTTCTTGGTTTGCACTGATCGGAAGTTGGATCGAAGCAAGCACTGGTAGGCCGAATGATGTAAGGGCGGTAATCGCAACATGCCAGAGTACTTGGTCATGTCGTACCGCATGCATTGCGGCCAAATCACGCAAAAGCATTATATCAACTTGCGATGTAATGGTTTTGGTTCCGGGGAGTTTCATCGAGCGAGTCGCTCGTGATACGTTGCTCATTGCTTGTGTGCGCTCCTCGGTCCTTTGCCGTTCCAATTTCATCACCTCCTACGTCACGCCTGAGTGGCTGCCAGATGCTGCCAGGACTTTTTGAAGCTGCCGTAGGCATGACTAGTGACCCTTCAATTGTTCACCTTGGAACAACCAAGTGGGGTGAAACTATCATGTGCTGCTTCGAGCATCAACAGATTGGGCACCAACAAGACTTCTCCTTCTCGGTTGGATTTGGTTTCTTGGTGTCTGACGCTGTCACACGGACGGTGAGTCCCCACGGTGAGTCACACATGAGCATCGCCATCAGGCTCTTTGTTACATGGCTCAGCCGGACCCAGCCAACATGTTCTGCGACCTGCAATAGCCCGGTCCATGCCACTCAATTTCAGTGCATCAGTGCATCATGCTACATCTCAAATCTCAATATGAAGGAATCAACATGAATCAAAAGGCTATGCCCTGCAAATGTCTGCATGCTGATCCTTGCATTCTTCCTAATGTAGACGAACCCTCCAGCAACTCTCGATTTTGCATAAATTCAGCCACTTTCACAGGCAGCGCACCTTCTTCCCATTCGCCTTTGCGCTTGTCACCTGGCGTTGAGAAACTCTCCACATCCTCACTTGCAAGAATGCTACGGACACTTCTCTAAGTCTTTAGTTTTTGGATCTTTCCGGTACTTAGTACTTTGAACAAAAAGAATTACATGTTTACTTGTGGCATTGTTTATGTGTTTTGTTTCTTCTGGCCCGCCCTTACTGAATTGAGTAAGGGAGTAGGGCCCACGCTACTAGGGAAGCTACTACATATGGACGCAGGATAGCTCACGCTTCTTCAAGGAAGCCTCAGGCGGGGGAGGCTTCCTTGAAGAAGCGCTCGCACTAATGATTTGGTTCCTAGATTTCTAGGGCTACTGATCAGCTTTTCACCTAGTGACGTTTTCTGTCTTTCTCTTTTCTTCTGAACGCTATGTTCGGTTGTGGTCTGGCCTCTAGCGGTGCAGTAGACACCTGTTCCATGCTGCTTCCCATACTTCCATTGACCATGATACTGACGACCTTAGCTGTGAACACAATTTGCTCACAAAATAAAAGGCAAATACATACAAAGCTGTTCTTTCTGTGGCAGTGCTCAGGTGGGGTCCATCTGGCCATCTGAAAATGCCCTGTGCCAAAAGCTCAAACTGCGCATTCTGTTGCCATGCATTCTACTGTAAGTTCCGTGACATCAGGTCGTGGCTCACAAAGGGCTATGAACTATGCAGAGTTTGGTCTAACGTCACAGCAAGTGTCAAGGTGTGGCCATTGACTGAGCCGGGGAAGAAACTCAGCTTTGCTGCACCACAATCCACAAGGCATAGGCTTTGCGTTTGAGGTCTGCCTGTTCAAACATCCACAGCTGAGAAAGCGAGGCCTCCCCATCCTTTTGGTCATTGACGTATTCCCCCTCGTAGCTGCGGCCATCCTCAGAATGTTTGCCAATACGCAAGAATTTGCACGTCCAAGTGCTTCAGCTATGAGGAACCCACAACCCAAGTAAAAAGTCCTTTTCCGTGCATCCTGGCAGAAGCGAAGTTGCACGCTTCGTCAAACAGCTTTGTAGAAAGTACGTGCTGATGCCAAAATCTAGCACTAGTGCCAGAGTGGTCCTGTTGTGAGCCCATTGCCCCTCAAATTTTCGACCATCGCTCCAACGGTATACACCAGCCTTGATTGCTTCTTCTCCGATATTATAGACCATGATGCACTATGCGCCGTGTTTCATTGCTCTTTGTTTCATTCTCCCTGTCTATCTGTGTCTGTGCTTCTGGCACCATGGATGTCATTTCCAATAAACTCGCCCTGGGCGTGCGCACGCCGCACAGGAGCGCTGCACACAGTTAAACACTAGTTCTCCGAAGCCACGTGTTCAAAGGCAAAGGCAAAAAGCCTATTTTGTGAAAGTGGCCGGCCTGGTAGCTAGAGCCGTCAGCCCAAGAGAATGTGCCTCTTCCAGACTTGTTTCCAAGCACCTGCAAGCAAGCTTGAAATGCCATGCTGCATGCTGAATAGCGAACAAATGCAAAATAGGTTTCTGGCATACGCCCCAGAATATTTTGCTCCATCAGGCCATATTTCAACACCTGGAGCTGATGGATGGTGATGTGCTGTTCATCCAAACATCAAGAATTGATGGACTGTTGTTTTGAACTATGTTTTCTCCTGCCTTGTCCATGTTGTTTGTCTTCTTCCCACTCCCCATCGTACTTGGAGCCATCAGCATGGTAGTACACGCCATGTCCATGTGCCTCAAGCGAAGTCCAGAACTAGCAGTGTACTTGGCCGCTCATCCAGCGGTGGGTCGTGAAGATTCCAGTCCCTTCGGGTCTGAGAGATGAACGAAAGAGAGACGAAAAGAACCCTTAAGAAAAAACAGGGGCCCATGTCGACCTTCTTTTTGCTCATCTCTTGGCCCGACTGATGCCGTGACCTTGTCATTCTTCCATTCACCTTCATAGATGTCACCATCCACGTGCTCGAATCTGCCGTATCCAGAGGCCTTTCCAATACAAGAAGCTCAGTGATCGATATGCTTATCGCAAAAGCACTGAGCTCACAATGGCAATCGGGTCCTTGTCATCTGCCCAGTCACCCTCGTATCTAGCACCATCTGGCCAAACTTGCATACCTTTTCCATGCCTCGGATGAGATCTGGAAGGAATGCAAGAGTCATCAAGAGTCTTCCAAATCTTGAGGATTCCCGCCTGCAGCTTCCTTTCCATTCACCTGTGTATGTCGCACCATTCTCAAAAGTGTGCGAGTCCTTGGCAGCAGTGGTGTGGCAAACATGCTATGGCAAACCCGATTCGGTCCTTGCTATTTCGCAAAGAGCTCGGCAGGGTGCTGTCCTTCAACTTTGCATGTTTGCGGTTTGGCAAAAAAAAGAAACTTTAGCAATTAGTTTGTGCATGTGCACATGGCACATGGTGCCCTCCGGGGAGAAGCAGCAAACTAAGTACGCCTATGTACTTGTACACCCTTGGTTTTAGCCCACTCCTACTTAATTAAGTAGGCGCCTACTTAATTGAGTAATTAAGGGAGAGTTAGCTACTAGACTAAGTTAGCTTCTAGGTAGGACGCAGGATAGCTCAAGCTTTTATTACTATTCATTTGGTTCCTAGATTTTGAGGGAAATCCATGTTCAGAAAGGAATTTGTCCCGCCGCTGCCGTAAGCTCTCTTTCTTGGATGATCCTTCTCACTTGGCAACCAGAAGGAACGACGTAATCGACTGAGGTTTGATCTCCAGCAATTAGTTTCCCGCGGGCCTACATTTGTTACTTTCCGGGAATCTAAAATCAGACATTAAACAAGCCTCTCCATACTCTATATATATATACCTCAGGTCTGTACAGCACCAATACCAGGCCCTTTCGCTTTGCTTTTTTGCTTGCTCGATTCTTCCTTATAGGTACCTCATGCCCAATTCCTTGTTCATCACGCCAAACTTGCTTTCGCGACATCACAGATAAGGCCCATTCCGTTACATTGGCAGAGTCTTGGAGACTCGTCCTAACGCTCCTGACTTTCACCAGGACCAAGGTTCAAACACATTTAAAAAAAAAAAAAGTGTTTTGAGGGGCTTGAGACCTAAGACTGAGGGCAAAATGGAAACAGAAACCGGAGAAAATATGTAATATGTGTACAATTGTATATATAGTATTAAAAAATATGATATGTTGTTGTTTTTTAAATACGGAGCGCGGCAAAGCATTCGAAGACGCAGCCTTCACCATATCTGCTGCATCGTTGAAGCCCGATGCGCAGCATGAAGCGGAAGCTGGAGCTGCACCTTGGATCGACGTCCAAGACCGAGCGAAGAAAACGAGGGGCCAGGAAAGCAAAGCAAAGCCGAGCAAGTAGGTTGGAGGCCATCAATAGCAAGTATCGAGAAGGAAGCAAGAGATGTTCTTGTGAGTCATACTTGGTCAGTAGCAAGAGGCTGTTGAGGTGAACACTTTGTCAAATGGGTAAAGAGGCTTTCAAGCAAAAGAACCCTTGAGCATGCTGTCAAGTCGCCCATCGCAAGTCAGGCCATGGGCAACAATCTGCTTACGCTCCGAAGATCTTGCGTCTTTATCCAAACTGCTTCCTGCTGCCTCATGTTTGTGCTTCCCTCCGCATACTCCGGTGGCTGGTGCCTGACTTAACTATATTGCCACATGTGTTGATGCGCTGTGCAACCTGAATTTGACTGAGCCCAAAAATACTTCAAGATCCTTTTCACGGAAGGGTCTGATTCCAAGCAAATCCCATGAGTCTCGCAGCAGTCCCACCACCAGATCACTTTCACTTTTTTTGTCCGCTGGAGCCATGTGCACACAGCAACATGTCCAGCCCGACACCTGACGTATTTGTAACAACAGTGTCACAAGCAGCAAGACAAGGGGGTTCGCCTTGGCAGTCAGCGAAATGATGAAGCATCGAGTCTAGCACCTGCATGTTCAGCTGGAAGTTCTGGGATACTGGGGAGCAAGGACGCTACTAGGGGCTCCTGGCCTTACTGCTAGGAGCAAGAAGCTACTGGGAGCAAAGGGCATCGCTACTAGTAGCAAGGACGCTACCAGAGTCAGAGGTCTCTGAGAGCTTAAAATGCTTCTGGCAAGAGCGCCAAGGGCCTTTGTGCGCCAGAAGCTCAAGCAACTGAAGATGCCCAAACTGGGCAGCAGCATGCGCCGGCGTCACACCCTAGCACCCAACTCCCCACGATGCTCCCCTTTGACCAATTTCACAGAACCGCAGAACTGCAATGATATTCCAATTGTCGGTGCCATGGTGCATCGCTACTAGTAACAAGTGCATCGCTACTAGGAGCAAGGACGCTACTAGGGGCTCCTGGCCGTACTACTAGGAACAAGAAGCTACTAGTAACAAGCTACTAGTAACAAGGTGCATCGCTACTAGGATTCGAGAACACCGGCAAGGTTCGATCCTGCTCATCCACCGCGTTTATGTCAGCTCGATGCACTGTCCTTCAAAGTCAGACATTTGCTTAGATTATAGATCGATCCTTCTAGTAAGAAAATGATCGACTAATTCGTGTTTCTAATAGCAAACATTGTTACTACTAGTAAGGCACTTGTTACTAGTAGCGATGCACTTGTTTCTAATAGCTTCTTGTTACTAGTGTTGCACGAAGAAGTGTTGCACCAAGCGGCAGCAAAGTCACCGCTGCCAAATGACCTTCACCCGCCAGGAAATGCCTCCGAGTGGTGAAAGGGTGTGACAGGTGAAATTGTGAGAGCATCCAACGAAGGAATACGAAGGAACGAATGGAAAGAAGAAAAGAATGCTGGATCTTTTCGGATTGGCAAGGACTTTTTGAAGGCACAGCTGGCCGAAATGACTGGGTCAAGAGCAAAGGTCGTGCTCCGAAGTGATCCGCAACATTCGGGTCAGCCTAGCCACTTGAACGAGCAAATCTTACAAGGTACAAGAGTGACCAATGGCTCAAGCGCCTTCATCCGAAGCAAATGCTTCAATACTTCAACATGCCCAGTTGTAGCTGCCCAGTGCAAAGGAGTTGCACCTTGCGAAGCTCTCACTTTGATCATTTCAGACCAAAAACTCCTTGTGCAAGGTGCCTTTACTAGTAAAAAAAGTTTTTTTTTCAGTCTCAAAAACACACATTCGTTTTCTGGGCCTTGTTCGTCCCTTGCCTCCGGACCAACTTGATTTGCCAAGAATGCCGTCACAGAGCGATGCCCACGAGCAGCTGCCCATCTCAATGCGTGTGCTATGGAATTATGCACGTCCTGAATGCATTAGAAACCGTGAGTCTGCAAAATCACATGGACCACGTGAGACCCACAACAAACTTGGCGAAAAAAACGCCACAACGTTTGGCTCAAGAAAAGGACTGCACACACGAACGTGACGCAACTCCCATGGGTTATGAGCCCAACGAACCCGTGAAGCCATGACATCCGCAGCGATGAGAAGACGGAGATCGAAGACTCCAACGGCAGATGAACAGTTGGATGCGATGATAGAAGCAGCGAGGGATCAGCCTCGAAGGGCACAGAGCTTGGAACCGAGCAGAACGATGACACCATCCCTGAAGAGAACATCCTATGCCGCGGTGACAAACACGCCGGCGGAGAGAAGACAGGTGGAAGAACAAAGGGCACTACCTGCTCCAGAAGATCCTCGTGAACTGGGGCCTAGAGGCCCACCGCAGGTGTTCATGCCGATGGTTCCACCTTTGCCACCTTTCTCACAGGTGCCTATGGTGGGTGGACTACAACCCGCTCTACCTGCACCAGCCGGTCCTGGACAAGTTGGAGGGCACGATGGTGGTGGGGGCATGCCTTCTTTGCTTCAACCGGTGCAAGAACAGGGGTGGGGGATGCTCGCAGGTTTGGAACAACCCTACCCTGGTATGTGGGGGACTGGAAGCTCTGCAGACCAATTGCCGGTGGCACCTCAAGGGCGTCGAGAAGAACTACCGGAAGGAGGTTCCTCGGTGAAGGGGCCTGGGGGAGTTGTTCCCCAGGAACTCGGTGGTGGTCGTGAACGAGTTCTCGAAGAGACGAAAGGTTCTGTGAAGAGCTCACCATTGAATCCCTGGTCCGCAGAGAAGTTGAGGGAACTTCATGATCAAGCTCGTCCAAGTGATCCTCGAGGACAAGGTCAACAACCTCGTGATGGCGGCGATCAAGTCGAACGTCTTCGTGAGCGATGTCTGAAGGAGGCCGAAGCGAAATTCCAAGAAGAAGTTCGCAAATTGGGGCAACAGAGCTCGAACTCGTCGTTCCAATCGGCAGTGGAAGCTCCTGGAGGCAAAGTCCAAGGTGATCGACTTCAACCAGGTGGAGAAGCTGCTGGAGATGTGAAGACCACTGCACCCATAGTCAATGTGGGTCCCAATGGCGTAGGCGTGGGGTCAGTAGCATATCCATGGCCTTATCCTCCTGGACTACCCGGACTACCTCCATGGGGAAATGGTGTGTGTGGCATTTTTCCCAATGGAAATCCATCAAGCGCAAATGGCATGTGGATGCCAGCTGAGGAATCACTGGGCGACAACGCTCGGTCGGTGGAATTGCCAGTGCTGGGCTTGGATGCCACGGCGCTGACGTTTGGTGACTGGTTGACTACCCTGGAGCCCATCGTGTCGGAGATCAGCCAAGGGGCAAATCAGTGGTGGCAGTTGACCCTAAAGAATGTGGAGCAGGCCTATGAAGCGTGGCTGGTGGCAGATCCTCTGCAACGCTTGCGTCTTGGTCCTGCACAATCAGAAGAGGCGAACAAATGGCCTCGGACCGAAAGAAGGATGCTCAGCCTGTTGCTACAAGCGGTGCCTGACACTGTGAAATCGGAGGTCATCACGGCTCGCAAAATGACAGTTGCTCAGGTATTGTTCATCCTCTACATAAAATTTCAAACTGGAGGACAAGGTGAACGGATGAACCTCATTAAGAACTTGACCGAGCTCAAACTGACCCAAAACGTGGGCGACGTGGTGCAGGTCCTTCGAACCTGGCGGCGTTGGTGGAATCGCTCGGAGGAGTTGGGGGTGCTTCTTCCGGATCCAGTGGTCCTGGCAGGGGTGTTGGTGAAGGCTTCAGACCATTTGGCGAAGTCTGGAGCTCAGGTGGCCTATCGACTGGCGACGAGCAGACAGCAGTTGCTGATCGACACCAGGCCTACGTTGGACAACCTCAAGATCTTTGCGGAGTTCCTACAAGCGGAGGCGGAAGAGCTAGCGATGGGATCAGGAACTGGAGTGGGACAGGGAAAGGGTCCGTCATTGAAAGCAGTGGCTACCAATCCTACTTCCGGAACTTCATCCATGTCCTGGACGAGTCCTTCGGTGGGGGAACAACGTGAGAATGTCGCCGGTGACAAAGACACCTGTAGGTTTTGGATGACCGAAAAAGGGTGTCGGCGTGGCGATCGGTGCAAGTTCAAGCACCATCGATTGAGTCCCAAGGACAACAGGTGCTTTCATTGCTCTGGCTTGAACCACAGCCGCACAGCCTGCCCATTCTTGAAGAAGGAGGGGAAGGGAGAAGAGGCGGTCAAGGTGGCGAAGGTCAAAGGGGGAAGCAACACAAACAGCCCGGAAAAGCCGGAGCGCGCTGGAGTCTTGGAGGAGGAGGCCAATGCTTCAACTTCACCAGGGACGACGGCAACGGTTGAGGAAGCGCCTACTGGGTCGAGGTCTACGCCTGGGGGAGGTGCTCCACAAGATGAAGTGGTGAACACGGTGGGAGGCTTGGTGGGTGAGGCGACGGCGCTGTTGAAGTCACTGCATCGGGCAAAACTCATGGCCGTGAAATGCAAGTCAGTTGGGGCTTCGCTATGTGGTGAAGGTGACCCTGATTTAAAGGTGGGACTACTGGATGGTGGGGCAACACATCCTCTCCGGACAGGACTTCCCGATGAGTTGGAAAAGGCTGAATTGGTGCCGGTGGACTTGGCGCATGGTCGTGTGTCGCTCAAACAAGATCCGGTGACTGGTACCATTCTGGTTGAAGGGGGCATTGAGCCTATTGTTCCAGTTCGGGGCTTGATTGACCTGGGCTACAAGCTACAGTGGAGTCGCAGTGGCTGCGTTGTGGTACATCCCAAAAGGGGAAAAATCTCCTCGTGGTTGCGAGATGGCTGCCCGGTGGTTGCTGAGGCGGATGCATTGGCCCTCATCGCGGACATCGAGGAGGCGGAACGAAAGAAGGTAGAAGACCTGAATGATGAGGAGAACCTGGATGAGGACATCATGGGGTGGTGGAAAAGACGTTTCCCTCAGGTGCCTTCCCGAGTGTTTCGCTACATGGCGGAGGGTCAGGAGTCCACTTCAGGCACACTACCTTGGAATCGGGGTACAAGAAGGCGACTGCAACAGTCGAAGAAGATTCTGCTACACCTCTATGCGGGGGAGAAGGCGGAGGAATGGCGAAGGTTGGAACAGGATGGCTGGGAGGTGATCACCCTGGACATCACCAAGGGCAAGGATCAGGATGTTCACAATCCTGGCCTATGGGACTTCCTGGCCAATCTGGCGAGGAAGGGGGCCATCAAGAGTGCGATTGGTGGACCACCATGCAGGACAGTGTCAAGAATGAGGTTCAAGCGTCCAGGACCTCGGCCACTACGAGATCGAGGAGCTGGAAGATTTGGACTGCCAAACCTCAGTGCTGGGGAACAACGATTGGCGGACCACGACACGGCCCTGATCCTCAAACAAGTGGGCATCTACTACATGGCGGAGGAGGCGCGCGTAAAGTATGACCTCGGGAGGGTGAAGACAGGCTTTTTGCTGGAGTCTCCGGAGGATCCTGGAAAAAACGAACTGGGAAGCGTGATGCCTTCGTTTTGGAGCTGGGAAGAGATTCTCGCTTTGGAGGAAGAAGAAGGGATGAACATGGTCAGCTTTGATCAGAAAACTATGGGGCACATTCGAAAAAAGCCTACCACAATCATGACCAACTTGCCCAACATGACCGAGCTCCATGAGTTGAGAAGTCCACCAGGCCAAGATGAACCTCTTGCAGAAAACCTGGCGGAACGCATGGAACAGTCACGGTCGTGGGCATTGTGGGCCTCAGGATTGAGAGCAGCGGTTTGGGCCTCGCTGAAGCTGTATTTGGAGCAGTTGATGGGGGAAGGGCCCAAAATCGCCAAGGCCTTGACAGCCAGGGAGAAAGAACAGTGGGCGCAACACTTTCGGCAAGGACATCGACCGTTTCGCCGGGATTGTCGCCTATGTGTGGAGCAGATGGGTGCTCAACGACCTCATAGAAGAAGAAAAGAAGGAGAAACTATGACTTCTTCATGGTCTATGTCAGTGGACATTGTTGGACCTCTACCACGGGCTAAAGATTTGACCACCAGCTATTACATGAAGTATGCCTTGATAGCAGTGGCTTTGGTTCCGGATTTGGGTGGAGGGAAAGAGGAAACCAATGGGGGACAGGAAGAAGAAGAACATGAAGACCAACCTCAGGAAGACCCGGGGCAACCGCTTGTGGAGGAGGATGATGCAGAACCGGGGGAGTTGGACATCATGAAGGAGGAATCCCCAGAAGAAGAACGTTTCCATCAAGAACTACAAGAATCATTGAAAAAGGTCCCAGTGAAACATGTGGTGCATGTGGAACCTATAGTGTCCCGGGAGAAGGAAGAAGTGGTAGTGGCGATGCAGAAAGCATTGGCACACTTCAAGGCCATGGGGATCTATGTCAATCGTCTACATTCAGACCGAGCCAAGGAACTGATCTCTCGATCGATGGCAGCTTGGTGTGCGAAGAATGGAATTGTTCCGACCACGACGGCGGGAGATGATCCGGCTTCAAACGGACATGCCGAAGCAGAAGTACACCAAATCAAAAGAAGGGTGCGCCTCAAGTTGGCGGAACATGGCTGCGAAGCAACTTCATGGCCGGATGCGATTCGCTACGTGGCGGCAGAGCGTCGTCGGAGACAGCTGGAGGAATTAGGGGCGCCTTGCCTTCCTATGTTGCCCTATCGAGGGAAGGTGTTGGTCAAGGTCAAAAAGTGGCATAAAGGTGGAGGACTTGTGGCACCGTTTGTGGAAGCACGGATTTTGTGTCCCAGTCACCTGGTCAATGGCGGTTGGGTGGTGCAACTACAAGATGGTCGAGTTCTTCATGTAAGGGAAGCAGTACAAACCAACCAAGAAGGAGAACAGCTCCGCATCCAACAAGGGGTGCAAGGGGACATGGTGCAGCTGCAGCTGGAAGAAGAGGATCGTCCTGGTCAACCTCACCGAAGATTGACTGGCAAACAGCCTTTAGGGAATACTCCGCGCTTGGGAGAACCTATGGCGGTGGTCACTGCTGCGGGTCCGACTTCAGCGGGGGGGAGTATTCTTCGTCGTCTTCATTGAAGGAGCCAAAAAGTTCGACCTCGAAACTATGGGAGGATGCACCAGAGAGGTTCCCGAGGTCCTCAACAGCCGCATCAGCTTCGGGAATGAAGGCAATGACAGTGGGAGTTCCCGCTGAAGGGCCCTACGGTGAAGAAGAGGGTGTCGGGAGGTGGTTGCCCATGGAGCTCGTGAAAGAGACGTGGGAGTGGCATCACATGCGACTACAAGAACAATTGTCCAACTTGGTGGATGGGGTTCCTCGCAATGCGTCACAAGGAGCTCAACAAGGACAAGAGGTGGAGTTGTTTGTGGAATAGCGGGATGAGCTGGAGGACAACTTGATCCAATTGGGTAGAGTGGAAAGGGACACTCGCATCCATTTGTGCAGCCTCCAAGTTCAAGATTCTGATGTCCTGCAAACAGTCACAGTGCCTCTCCATGAAGTTCGAGCACATCCTCAAGATTGGATTCCAGCTTTTCAGTATGAATACGATGTCCTCGTGAAAGACACGCAGGCCGTACATCCTGTACCTCGTGAAAGCCTTCCTCCTCATGCTGAATTAGTACCTGGCAAAATGGTGTGCGTGCGCAAGGGAGGAAGTGGCGTGCATCGCGCGCGGGCTGTCATATGCGGAAACATGACATCACCAACGGCAGACCCTGCACCTGGTCCAGCAGGAAGTTACGCCAGCGGAGCTGACGGCACTTTGATCAGATGCGCAGTGCGTCGAGCTGCTCATGAAGGATGGATGATGTCAGCGCTGGATGTCAAAAGTGCCTTTTTACAGGCACCAAGGCCTACCGCTCCTGGCGCTGCTCCAGTGGCGGTGGTTCCGCCCAAAATCATGTCACAACTGGGCATCTGCCCGGAAAATGAAGTGTGGATAGTCCACAAAGCACTCTACGGGTTCCAGACGTCACCAAGCTTCTGGGCACTACACCGGGACGCCATGTTCAACAAGTTTGAATGGGTTGTGGAGGGGATTAAATACCAGCTTCAATCCACAAAAGAACGAAACTTATGGCGGGTCCTACAGGAAGGGTGTGCGGCTCCGGTTGGTCTGATGCTGGTCTATGTAGACGACCTAATGGTGATGGGCAACAAAGCAGTTCATGATGGGCTGGTGGCTCGCATACAAGAGGAGTGGAAGACTTCGAAGCCGGAGTTGGTGAACTCAGAAGAATGGGTGCGTTTCTGTGGCTTCGAGATGAAGTATCAGGGTGAGGAGCTTTTGGTGGGACAACCCTCATACCTGCAGGATCTCCTTCGTCGCCGGAAGATCACAAACAAAAGGTCTACACCGTTGCCAAAGGAGCATGCCAGCCTTGTGGAGGAAGAGGAGGACGTCAAGATCGAGGAGGTTCGCCAGGCTCAGGCCATTGCTGGAGAGATTTTGTGGGTTGCGGTGAGGAGTCGACCGGATCTGGCATTCGCTATTGGGGCATTGGGGAGGGCAGTGACGAAAAGGCCACGTTGGGCTTTGCAGACGGGTTACTACATCTTGGAGTACCTGAACGCCACTGACAAGTGCTTCCTGGCCTATGGAAAATGCAAAGAACAAGATCGGGGACCCGACCAAGCCTTGGCTCGAGAACGCAGCATGAACCTGGTGGAGATCTATTGCGACGTGTCTTACGCCCCACAAGGAGAAAAAAGTGTTCAAGGCATTGTAGCCATGGTTGGTGGTGGAGTGGTTCAATGGGAATCCTCAAGGCAAAGCTGTATGGCATTGTCGACGGCAGAAGCTGAGTTGTTGGGCTACATCGAATCGTCTGTGATGGGCGATAGCTTGCAAGCCCTGATGACTGAGGTGTTGGGGGTGGAGGAGCCGCCGGCAGTGGTCACCTATGGGGATAGCCAGGCAGCAATCGCCATCATCCGACAACCTGATGGTCCGTGGCGAACTCGACATTTGCGATTGCGTTCACACGCCTTGAGGGAAAGATCACGGCTGGGAACCTGGCAAATCTACCACTTGGAGGGGACGAAGTTGATTGCTGACTTCCTCACCAAGGCCATTGCAGTAAAAACGGCATGGCAACGCTTCCGGAAGTTCATTCGCATGGTGGACCTGGGGGAGAATGACATCGACCAGGAGGCTGAGGTTCCGGAGGGCGAGAATGATGGTGGAGTGCGATTGGCTAAGGTCGCTCTATGCCTAGCCAGCTGCGCAGCCTTCCCGGGGTGGCCGAGTCAAATCGTCAAGGTGGCGGTGGTGGCTTCTCTGAGCGTGGCTTTAGCGGCTGAAGCGATTAGGATTTTTGGTAGGAAGGGGGTCAACGCTGGGGATTCAAAACCACGTGTTTTCCAGGGTCAGTACAACCATAGCAGTTCCGGGGGAGAATCCCTAGTGGCGACCCGACCCAAGTTGTGTACCCTGCGAGCGGGACTTGCAAGGGAACCAAAAGACCAAGAAAGGTCACAACAAGAAGAAAAAGAAAAAGAAGAAAGTATAAGAAAAGGACAAGAGGCCAGAAATGAAGAGGCGTCGGGCCGCACGCCAGGGTCTGAGACCTTGATGTCTCAACGATGGGAAGACCCTAACAGTAGCCTAGAGGCTCCCAACATCGTCGAACTCGAAGCCGCGAGCGCTCGCCATGGCATTTGGGGAAAGCTGCAGCTGCGTTTTGGCCGGGCTAGCGAGGTTGAGGAGTCCGGCTACATGGGGGCGGCTGCCTCGTCGTCCTCGTCGACAACGACTGGTCAGCAAAGGGGATCGAAGGCGGTTCGGGAAGACAGCCCGCCCGTGAAGTCTCCGCCGGTGCTGCCGAAGTATGTGCAAGGGGTGCCGGGTCCATTGCCGAAATCTCCACCTGTGCTGCCGAAGTATGTGCAACATGTCAATGAAACCATTGAGGGCTTGAGGACCGGGTACTATCCACGGAAAAGCCCGCCACCAGGGCCAATGAACGACGCTGGGGGCAAGGCGGCGGCGCGGGGGGCAGCGGCGATGGGAACTACATCCAAAGGTTCGTCTTCGTGCTCCGGTCAGGAGGTGTCCAAACGACCTGCTCGAGTGGGATCGGCGTGGCCAGAAGAGTATCCTCCTTGGGTGGTGGCACCAAAGCCTGGACCTCTTCCGCATCCATCAGACGGGTCTCAAGATAACCCACACCGAGCTTATCCTTCACCATGGGATCGGCCGCATTGGCCTCCGGTGCCTCGGCTGGTTCCTCCTGTGGGTGAAGAGGGAGACACTTTGGTGATTCAGCCATCGCTTTGGTGGAACCAGGAGCTCTTTGACAAGGTGCAGCGACTGGTGGATGAAGAAGCCACGAAGTTTCGACCAGTTCCAAGGACAAACGCTTGGGACTATCTTCGCTTGCCGCTGGAAACGTGGATGGTCCGAAGGCACAGTTTGAGGGTGCAGCGATTTCACCCAGAGCATCGATCCACACCTGAGGACATGAGAGACCTCGAGTATCTCAGGGTGACGGTGGCTTGGCTGCTCAACCAGAACACCATGAAGTTTTCTGAGCGGCTGATCTATGTAGATGCCGAATGGCACAAGGATGGTTTGCCAAATCTGCACGGCAAGTGGTGCGGATTTAGCTTTTTCTTGGTCAAGGACCGAGTTCAGGTTGCGAACTAGTCGCAAGGGGAGCGTGAGTCTGCAAAAGCACATGGACCACGTGAGACCCACAACAAACTTGGCGAAAAAACCGCCACAACGTTTGGCTCAAGAAAAGGACCGCACACACGAACGTGACGCAACTCCCATGGAAACAATGTTCGCTACTAGGAACAAGTGCCACGCTAGTAGTAACAAGTGCCTTACTAGTAGTAACAAGAAGCTATTAGAAACAATAAGCTACTAGGAACAATCTTCTGGAATTATGCACGTCCTGATGTTCCTGTGAATGCTCCCAGTGTTGGTTGAATTCATCTTCGCCGCTCCAGCTTGGTCTGGTCGCAGCGGCAATGGCCAAACGCATGCGGAGTTCTTCTTGCAACAGCAGTTTTGAAAGCGCCAAATGACCATTCCAGGCTGCCCAGTGGAAAGGTATCAAACCAGCTTCGTTCAACATGCCGCCACCCGCAGGTTGCAGAGTCATTGCAAGTCCTCCACTTTTATCGTCTTTCAGGGCTCTCTTGGCCATCTCCAAGTTCCCACGCACCGCAGCTCGGTGCATTGCAGGAAGGAAAGCCACGGAGCCTATGAAGCCAATCCCCACATTGAAGTTGCTGAGACCACATGTAGCATGAGACCATCCATCAGGCAAATACAAAATGTCTGATGGGCCGGTGATACATCGAAATGAAGCACCTTTGGCACCGAATTTAGCATCTCCCTTGGTCTTTCTTGGCACCTCTGTTTGTCTTTCTTTCTCATTCCTACTTGTTCTGCTCCCTGCTTCACTCGCTCTCTTTCGGAAGTTGCAAGGCTCATCTCGATCTGGAAGAGCTCCATCAGCCCCTCCAATTAGCCACCTCATCTCATTTGCGACGGCTTTGAGAACAAGTACCGTTCGAAGCAATCAGGCAAGCCCGTAGATGAGAACTGTGTCCTTTTGTTTTTCACTTTTCCGTCGTGAGAACAAAATGCAAAGTCTTGCTGGTGCTTCTCATAGATGCAACTTCTTCCCATAGATCTGGGCCATCCATGCTTCTTCGTGCCTGGGATGGCGCATCACTTCGGCTGCGTTTGTTTCCCAAAATGACGTGATGAACATAAAAGTTGTGAAAGTGATGAACGCAGCAACGACCTAAGGAGAACTTGTCCTTCATGTAATGAGTACTCAAGCCTAATGAGTAAGCAATAGCAATTGTGTTCCTTGTAGGTGTTCTATCTTTGTTCTTCGTCTTTTCTTTGGACCTTTAGACTTTAGACTCTTTCTTCTTCCTGTCCTCTCTCACCCTTGCTAGTAAATCTAGTAAGGAGCAAAGCAACCTTTTCTTAGTGAGAAGTCTTCTGCGTTCCGAAGTTACACTAAGCTTCCTACTGGTGCCTCCCGTCTCCCCGTCTCCCCCGCCTGTGAAAGACTGCTGTGGAGCCTTGTCCGCCAATGCTGACACTCGGCCCATGCAGCGTAACAGATTCCAGCACACTTGGGAGTCGCAAATATGCGCGGCAAGCTGATGAGACCGAGTGGTGTGGCCTTACAGAAAGTCGCTACTAGGAGCAAAGGGCATCGCTACTAGGGCCTCCTTAGAAAGTCGCTACAGTCAAGTCACTGCAAGTAGCAGCAACCACCACCAGCAGCTGTGGCTGCATGTAGGACCGATGTCCTGCTCGGTCTGGTGAGGGTCACAACATGTTCAAACGCAGCACTTCGCACCTCACTTGACTAATAGCGTCCTTGCTACTAGTAGAAGGCAAAGGAAAGCATGTTTTCTGATCTCGTCACCCTCCTTAGTTCACCATGTTCGACTTCTGTGATTGCATATGTGGTCAATGCATTCTTCTTTCCCGCTCCTCTTTCTTCGTGCACCGAGAGCAAGAGCACAACCTGCACATCACATGAAGAGGCAAGCGCGATCCTGTTTCAGTTTTTTGCAAGAGAAGCTCTAAAGGCACCTCGGTGCATGTCACTCGGCCGAACGCTCTTGGTTCCTAAACATACTCTGAAGTCAGATGGTTAAGGCAAGAATCACAAAGGGAGTCAAAGGATGTCAAAGGTTCGGGCCATGATGGGCAAAAAGCTGTTGCCGTGCCTTGTTCAAAACGCAACACTTGGCCGCCAACCTACTAGCGATGGCCTCAACCTAGAAGCGATGGTTTTGAGCTCGGAAAGATTCCAAGGGACGGGCGAAAATGCGCTTCACTCCTCGCCAGCCCCTAGCCCAGCCTGGGACCAGAAAGTTCTTGCTGCATGGAGGAAAACGGGAGTAGTCAACTCCAACCCTTTTTATCGAGGAGTTTCTGTCTCGTCGATCGTAAGTGGTCGTCAAAGTCGTCGGGCAGTAAAGTCGACAACTTCGACATTCTTGAAGGACGAGAGGAAGATGCAGATAGAAGGGAACAAGGACGCTACTAGGAACAAAGGGCATCGCTACTAGGAGCAAAGACGCTGCTAGGGGCTCCTGGCCATACTACTAGGAGCAAGGACGCTACTAGGGGCTCCTGGTCGTACTACAGTACTAGGAGCAAGAAGCTACTAGGAACAAAGAACATTCGAAGAGGTAAAGAAATGTGACACTGTTGGCAGGACACCCCTCTTCACCTCGTAGGACGACCGCTGCTTTTCCCAAGTATTGCTCCTGACAAAGCAGTGTTACTTCAGGTGTACTTACACGTACTTACGCTTGCTTCCCCCACTTAGTTTCGCTGACTGTATTCAAATGAAACCCATGTTGTGGTCGCTGGTGATGTCAACAATATGTCGACTGCATCTCCTGTCTGATACTTCAAAGAAAACAAAAAAGGAAGTCTCAGAGACTCAAAAGAAGTCTCTCATAGTCTCTCTGTTTCTCTCCTTTCGTTGATTCGAGTCTCGCTCTTCGTCTGTGTCTCCTTGAAGACATTGTGGTTTCTCTCCGAGACATTGAGCTCAGGCCTCAGGAGCAAGGACGCTACTAGGGGCTCCTGGCATTGCTACTAGGAGCATTCTCGCGACTAGTAACAAAGGGCATCGCTCTGGGAGCAAGGATGCTACTAGGGGCTCCAGCCGTTTCTCTCGCACTGCTTGCGCTGAAAACATCGTTTGTTTTGCCCAGGGCTGCTGCAGTTCACATCGCAACGCCACTGCACAGCCTGTGAGGCGACACAGATGCGGAGTTCTTCGGAACCTGTACACATCAAAGCAAAACAGAACACCGCCTGGACAAGACGACACAAGGAGCAAAATGCTGCATGGTTGCCGCATGGAAGCTTCTCTGGGATAAGTTCGAGAATTGGATTTGGAAAAGTACTCAAGAAAGGATTAGGATGCTAAACCGAAATGGATCAAAGACCCAACGATATAGACTATTTTGTTCACCTAATGACCTTATAAATATATAGTTCAATAGAAAATCTATCTGCTGGAAGCTGCTTAAAGCCTTAAAGCTGTTCAGCGAAATGATTCGATTCTCTCCAAGCAATGCAACATGTACAATGCAGCCCCTACAGCCTTCCACATGCAATTGCAATTTTTACACTTGTCAGCTTAGAGCTTCTTTGGCCCTTCTGGCTACTGCCCGACCACTCACCACTTGAAAACCCATCACTATGGTCACCTGCAGATGCTAGATGCTGGCTCGATCTTTCAAGACGAACAAAGGTTCTTCTCAAAGCAAAAACCATCAAACAAAAAGATCTTGCCAGTTTGTTTGCACACTGTCATATCAGGACATAGAGTTGTGCCTCTAAGGCTTACGTGGAAAAAAACATCTGAAGGATACCATAAGGTTCAATGATTCAATGTAGGTTCTGCAAGCTTGCCGGCCCTGAAACATGCTGGCTTCGCGTGGAGGTGGCTGGAAGTCATCCTCAAGTCCAAATCGAAGAATAGGAATGGCCTCCAACCTAGAAGCGATGGCCTCCAACCTAGAGGGAGACCTTTGTGCACAAAACGGTTCTTTTGATGTTCTTCAATCTTCGGTTGGCATTCCTGATGCATGGGCATCTCAATCGGAAGCTTCGGAGAGGCACCTGCGCAACTTTGTGGAAACGAATTGAAAAGCATTGAAAGCATCGTTTTGCTCCAGTCTGAACGTTTAGATTTGGCGTTGTAACTGGGAGTTTGAACGTTGGAACGTAAAACGGTAAGCCTACTAGTCGAAATCAGAAAGGGCAAATGGTTCTTTAGGTGTTTATTGAAGAAACGACGCTGTGCACATTGTTGTTCAGCGTGGTGCAAGAAAGCAAAAACAATTGTGCAACGATTAGCAATGACAGCTCTGTCCTCCTTTCAGCCGCGATCGTAGCAATGCAAAGGACTGGGTCAAGTCGTGTCCATTCATTTGCAGCAGATTGTTGCAAGCCAACAATAACTTCACACGAGCCACTGCCGCACAAGGTCCAGACTGAAAGAAATGAAGAGTTGCGGTTGCGGGCTGGCCTTAAGTATGTATGTGTGTGTGTGTCAAGACATGTAATGAGAATGAAGGTCGCCCTGAAGGCCATGAAAAATTGAAACCCTTGGGCCTGCGGGATGAACAAACCCAAATAAGAGGTTCTGCCAAGACCGCATCTTGGAGTACGTTCTGGACTCCGCTTTAGAAACTACACTATTCTGAGAAGGCGCACCGTGCTTGCGCCGCGTCCAGGGCCTAACAGAGAATGCTGTTCAAGGATGGAGCATCGACTACTAGCTTCCTTGCTCCTAGTAGCGATGGTTTCCAACCAATAGCGCTGGCCTCCAACTAGTAGCGTCCTTGCTACTAATTGTTGAGAAGACCTTAAGCACTAAAAGTCTTAAAAGGACTTTCTCTAAAAACATTCTTGTCTTGGCCTTGATTACCCGTTCTTGACCTGAATATCCCATTCTTGCTAGTGGCAGAAATCAATTCTGAACGTTTGACGGGGAATCCTGAGAACGGTCCAATATTTTCTGAAATGCCTTGCCACTTGCAACAACACAACCTTTAAAAAAATGTGTGTGTATATATATATATATGTGTGTGTGTGATATTTAAAAAAATATATATATATATATAATATGGATGGACTATTCCCGCAAGAGACCCCAAACTGTGTGTGTGAGGTGTAGAGGTGTAGCAAAATCAGAAACAAAGATCTACACGTACAAGTATTGGAATCCAGAGAGATGATGGTGGTGATGAAGGTGGAGATCGTGGTGATGGTGATGGCGATGGCGATGGTGATGGTGATGGCGATGGTGATGGTGATGGCGATGGCGAGCGAGCGAGCGAGGGAGGGAGTGAGTGAGGGAGGTGAGTGAGTGAGAGTGGGCGTGAGTGAGTGCGTGTAAGCGTGAGTGTGAGCGTGAGTGTGAGCACGAGAGGGTGAGAGTGAGAGTGAGAGCGAGCGTCGCCTCAGAAAGCACAGGCTGCAGCCCCTGCTACGAAATCTGCACTTCCAGGTTCACAAAGCGCAGCCCTGCCAAGGCGGTTTGCCGCAAGGGCGGCACTTCGAAGTAAAGCCGCTCCGATCCCTTGCACCTGTCACGAAAAGCCGACTTTGGACCACCAAAGCACGAGGTTTCCCTGGCGCCTGCCACGAACTGTGACCACCATGTCCGAAAATGCGCACGGCACCACAACGGGAGAGTCGCGATAAGCACCCGCCGCGGCCAACCAGATTTTGCGAGCATGTGCAGTCGAAATGCACTTCGAGGATTTCGAGAGGCATGAATGTACTGTAAATAGCAGCGAATTAGCCAGACACGGATGTGCAACACCTCGATCAGACACCGGCCCTTTACTACTACCGTAAGAACCCCTAGTGTGACCACACTGTTTGAGGAACAATATATGGATTTAAAAATACAAAGGTGTTTGGAACCCTTTCATAAGGCTCCCTTTCAAAGGACCCAAGCACCTCATCTTTTCCTCCACTTATTGTCTTTTGTTGTCTTTTTGTTGTCTTGTATTCTTGTATCTTCTTATCCTCTGGTCAATTTGTCTCTTTTGCTTCACCAGGGTGTTCGTGTTCATGCTATTTAGGACTTCCCATGCTTAGCCACAGGTAATACACGCTCAGTCCCGCTTGACGCCTCTTGCAGGGACTTCTGTTTTCGAAGCAGCTCTTCTCGCTCATTCAAAAGAGCCCTTGACAGCGACGGCAAAAAAGGACATTGGAGGTTGGAGGCCATCGCTATTAGGAGCAAGGGCATCGCTACTAGTAGCTCCTGGCATCGCTACGACGAGTCACAAGAAGCTACTAGAAATAAATGGCATCACGACTAGGAGCAAGGAGTAGGTTGGAGGCCATCGCTTGGAGGCCATGCCTACATTCAATGCTCACTGATCCCATCCACTCCTGAAATCGGTGATGCTGATGTCACTCCAGACCTCAGAATCTTCTCTTCCCTCATTTCATTCGAGACTCGTGAGTTTGTAGCTTGAGTGGTAAGATTCTAGATGATGGGAAAAAAGAGAAGGGTACAAGAAGGTGGTTGGACCCCCTTGAACAATGCAACCTTTAAAAGGGGCCTGATTAAGGAGACCCAAACACCTTATTCTAAATTGCTGCCTCCAACCTAGCAACGGCCTCCAATTGCGTCTCTGAGGGTGGAACTCCAGAGTGCTCAGAAAGCTCCTCAGATCTACAACCAAACATCTGCCACTCGATCTCGATGGTCACTCAAGTGTCCTGGAGCTCTCCGTCATCGTCCACGCCTGCACCGGTGAGGCTAAAAGTCAAAACACAAGTCCTAAGTGAAGATGATGAATCAACCTCAAAACGTCTCCAAAAGAGAGTTCTGGGGACCCTAACAAGTGGATATATTTTGCTCTTTCGAGCTGTATTGCAAAATCCTAGTCCACCACTGTACGACGCAGCTTACCTCCACGTTGGTAGGCGCTGAAGGACTCGATCAAATAGCGAAGCCGGTCCTCTCACGAAATAAAAACGTGGCGACATTGCCACAAAGTTGTAAGTGTTCAAAATAAAAGGAAATGTCCTTCCAAAAGTGCTCCACCTCAGAACAAGCTGGACTCCGCAATTGCTTGTGCTACTACTGACGCTGCCTCCCAAATACCAGCCACAGATGAGTTGCCTGGGACTTGTCCATCAAGCAGGGAGATCACATCGTTTCTCTCTTCATGTACGCAACTCACCCAGGCCTTCACTATCACTCTCGGATCGCCTTGCCACAACGCAGACCTGTAGCGATTGATCGATTTTCCGGGTGATCACCTGGATCGACAAGCTGGCTATCTCAGTTTCTGCTAGTGCCCAACTCGCACGCAACCCTGAAAACTGACGTGGGCCCCTCCCTTGAAATACAAACAGCTGCACTGATGACTGCAGCTATGTGAAGAAAGATCAGAATCCAATCAACATGATCCTTGCGCAAGGGTCCTGATTTCCGAATTGCTCTCGATATAGTGACGCGATTTCATCCCCTATGCCGCCTCTGGAAGGCCCTGAGAGTTGAAGAGGATTGACAGTTCAAACCTGACATTTTCCGGAAAACTATGATACAACTTGCTGACTAAGATGTTAATTCTTCAAATCTGAAGACTGCATCCAAAAGGATTAAAATGATTGATACGTCCTAATGATTCCAAGGAGTGTTAGTGAAAAAACTACCTGTCCTATCCTGTCCTTACTCTTTATCTAAGATCCTACTTGCCCACCTCCGGACGCCATCGGTGATCTTTGGAGGCATCTTTTGGAGTACGTCGTTCGCCATTCCCTCGAGATCGAAGATGAAAGGAGACGGTGACGGCTTCGCTAGCGATGTCTGACCGTCTGAGGTACGGTCGCAAGCTTCAGAGGCTTTCTTGGCCTGGTTGTCTCACAGAATCAAATGAACCGATTGCCGCACTTACACTGGCTATTTAACTATGGGTTCCCTCTGCGTCCTCCTTAACGAAAACGCCTTCGACGTGAGAAGTCATAACAATACCTTCGACTTGAGAAGTTTCCATTGGATGTCTGGACGGTTCAAGGTTGCCCTGGTTTGCTTCTGACCAACTCTTGGGATTCCTGTGGCGAGGATGTTGTTGAAACTGGTTGTCTGTCTTTGTTTATCCACAAGTCAAAAAACTTTGGGCAAGGAGGCTGAATCTGAGTAGAAGTGATTCTTGCTCAAAGAACTCACTTCCCATTCTGCGAGTAGACCCCGTTCTTTGGCTCTACAAGCAATATGCCGGGGGAAACATGCATGACCAGAATGCTTTCCTTGGAAAACAAGAACGCTCAGACGACTCTTCATTCTTCTGGAAGAGAACTAGTGTTCCTTTCTTATTTATTTATACAATTCTTATAATTAACTATACTGTTTGTTCTTTATAATGTCTTTCTTCATTATTATTACAAATATTGTCCATGGGGGTAGGCCCTGACGTGAGGCTAATAAGGGAACAAGTAACGCCTGTAGGCACCGACGCAGAAAATGCTTCCTTGAAGAAGAAATGTCAGTAAAGCGTCCTTGATTTGGTTCTTTTTAGAAAAAATAACATCGAACGTTTTAGGAAAGGTTGTAGAACTTCGACACCGGCCTGCTCAAGCAGCTTGCTGGCAGCTTCATCCCCAAAATCGCTCTTCACCAATAGCAAGGCCTGAGACAACGGTCCGTGGCACGTGCCCTCAGCACCACGTGTTTCAACAGACAGCGACATTCTTCCTGCCTTTTGAACGCCATTCTCCCATTCAGGATTGATTTGGGCACATGCTGAAATCTCCTCAAGCACGAGAGTATTGAAATCCCCTTGCAAAGCTGCCCTGAAATGCCTCCACCGCGTGCTCAAAGTCATCCGAAGGAGCCTTGGAAAGAAAGACTACAACCAGACCAGAGTCGTCCAGAAAAGTTTGGGAAAGGACTTCCACTTTTGCTGCTCCAGCTTCTGGAACCTTGGTCAAGCGGAGTTGAAGAAGCACAAAATGAACCAGGCCACCAGGCCTGTACTCGGAAAATGTAGGCACGGCCAATGGCAAGCCTCAAGATTTGCTGCAATTTCTGCAGATGACATGGTCCGGTGCAGGCACCATGAACATGGCCTGTCACCATCTTGCAGCGACCTGCCAGCCTGGGAGGTTTTCATGTGTCTTTTCTGTCCACTCAAATTTTAAGATTCGATTGCCTCTGGAACCATGCATCCATTAACCTCAGCACCGCACACTACTCCAGTGCAAAACAGCAAATCATGATTAAACATGTGTTGGAGGCCATCACTTGTAGGTTGGAGGCCATCGCTATTAGGTTCCTTTAAAGTCCCATTCTTAAAGCCTTTAAAGTCTTGGACCGGGCTAAGACCAATAATTGCAGCTCAGGCACTCGCACCAACCCTGCGCCCAGCGATCTGACGGAAAGTGCCACCTGTCGTTGATTGACCAACCGACCAACCCTTGTGAGCTACAAGAATCTCTTTTGCGATGTTTGCGGGTATCTTGGTCCAGATACATAGGCATTGCTTTGCGTTTGACTCTAGGCCCCCTGCATTGTCTGCATTTTCCACTGCACAAACCTAGCCAAAGTTGCAGCAAAAGATTGTTCCAGTTTTGGAGTTCCCACACAGCTCGAATCTTCGGAAGCTTTCTTTTTTCGCTTTAAGATCTTCAAGCTTTAAGCTTCGCCTCTGAAGCCACGTTGAGGCCGGAAAGCGCCACACGACAGCGCACTGGGTCAGCGCCGATCCGAGTCTCACCCATTGGCAGGTAGTACACCAGGCAGCCCTCATCATTTGAAAGTCCACGTTCATTGCATACACAAACCCTGAATCATGCAAATACTATGCTACACAACTTCAAACTAGTCTCACACTTGCCTTTAGAGCAGGGTCAGGGTGCAAATTGACAAGCTTTGGTGCCTGGCATCTGTCATGGCGTAAGCCACACAGCCTGGCAGCCTACTGATGGACAAAACACCCCTGCCTTTGGCACATCGTCAAGATCCATCCCGACAAAATGCATCCCCAGCTTCGCAAGTTCTGCCTCCAGCCAGACTCAAGTTGGAGATCAAGGTGAACAATACACAGATGGCTCCAAATCTGCTCCAAACGAAAAGAACATCGTTCTGACATGTGGAAAATCATATCATGTCTTTTGTGCGCTTCGCCAGTGCTTCGCCTTGCGAGCTCCGCCCGCCTCTCTCTGACGTTGCTGCTCCTGACGCTTTGCAGCCAGTTGCGACTCATCCAGGGCCTCACAACAAGCTCTGCCAGTTGCTTTATCCCCAAGGCGAAGGATAGCGAAGGATAGGATTATTTTTTAATATTGTTTATTAAGCTTATTCTTGCTTGCTCCTTTTCAGACCTTGAGATGTTTCACAACTAGCTAGAACACACATCCTGTTCAAGTCTAAGCTCAGCACAATGCTCTCTTGAAATCCTCTGACATGAAACTGTACAAGCCAGGCCGAGTCAAACAACTTTTTCAGCAACAAGATGCTACTAGGAGCAAGGACGCTACTAGGGGCTCCTGGCATCGCTACTAGGAGCAAGAAGCTACTAGGGACCATGAGACGTGGCCAACGCCCCCTCCTTTCAGTGCATCCAGCTGCGCTTGGAGCTCAGCTTCTCGGTCCTGGCAGCTCGAGGGACCAAAGTTACGAAAGCGAACACGCTTGTTACGGTGAAAGCAGCGTTTTTTTAAATAGGGGGTAGGCCGCTAGTTGAGGCAGCTTAGCCAGTAGCTAGGTAGGTAGCTAGTAGAAGACGTACCTAGTAGAAAAGGTAGCTAGTAGCTTAAATAGCTACTTAGGACGCAGGATAGCTCACACTTCTTCAAGGTTAGGGCGCCGGGGGAAGCTTCCTTGAAGAAGCGCTCGCACTAATCATTTGGTTCCTGGATTTTTACGGAAGCTTAAGTTAATTCCTGAGTCCCCCCAAACCTTATGTTGTGATTTCCGAAAGGCATGAGGAAGCAAATGAAAGTCATGATCGTGCTGGGCCCTGTTCAGAGCTGTTTTGGGCAAACATGCATAGTCGTTTCTGAAACGACCTGAGATGAGAGAGATCCCAAGCTGGAAATGAAAAGAATAATACAGAGATTTAAAAAGGGAAGGCACCCCCTTCAATAAGGAGCCCTATATAAAAAAAGAAAATCAAGGGTCCTTTTTAAAGGGGGTGCCTTGCGTTCCTTCTTTCCTCTCTCTGTTCTTGGACATTCATCTCTGACTTCGAGTGCTACTGTCTCTCAGCTCCATTGGGCAGGTGGGTGAAGTTCATTCGAGTCATACGATAGTGCAGCGTTCCGGACGGAAGAGGGAATGCCAGCACCTAGTTAACTTGCAAAAAAAGTGTCCTTTTGCTGCTTCCATTCTTCTTCAAGGCGACACCGCAGTTCTAACTCCTCAGCACTGAAAAGGACAAACGAATGCTTAGCACTGACTCTTGAAAAACTGGTTGAGAGTTGTTTGGCGTCTTAATACAGGGGCCCAAACACCTTCTTCTCTTCCTCTCTTTTTCTTATTTTATCGAAAACTTCCATGAGTTGCCATCCGCACATGTCACATGTGGTTTTTACTTCCACCGAAAGGTGTGACTCTGGCATTCCCATCACTGTATAGTCATACTACTCCCTAAGACGTCTTTGCCTGAACTCTCGCTTTCTAGGCACATCCACATTGCAGCCATGAGGACACAAGCATCCCAACAACTGCTTGCCCCGTTTATGCCGGTCCTTTCTTGCCTCTTCACGATGCTGCTGCTCCTTCCCCGATATAAGAGTTAAACACACAATATGCGCGCGGGGAAAAGATGACTACTATGAAGAGCAGTTTCAAGTGCAGAATGCTCACGTCGAGCAAGTGGCCGACATATCATGAAATGAGGGCACTCTCAAGCTAAATATCAGACGCCGTGCCTGCTGAGCAAGCTCAGCCAAACGTTTGCTGAGAACAGCCTCAGTCTTCACTGCGGTCTCCTTCTCCTGAAGAAAGACAACCTACCCATCTCCCCCGACTGGTGCAAAAGAAACCAGCCTTTCTCACGGCCACCTTTCCAATGCGAAAGGGGTCCAAACTCACTCAAAACCAGAAGGACTCTCCTATCTGGTCTATGTCTACATCTCTGTATCATGTGGACTCATTCAGACTCTGTCAGGATGGAAATATATCGGTCCTGGCGGAGTTGCTCCTTCTCAGCCTCGGTCCATTGTTTCTCGTCTAAGGCTCTCTCGTCGGCAACGTCACAGTTTGACATCTTTGACCAATTCCAATCTCTGGAGAAGGGAAGTTTCAAAACAAATCTGTGTGCACGAGATAAGATCTGTCTTGCTTGTTGGATACTCTCCCTCAAACAGCTTAGATCTTACCAATTTCCGCTAGTAGGTTGGAGCGCTAGTAGGTTGGAGGTAGGTTGGAGGCCATCGCTAGTAAGTTGGAGGCCATCGCATCTAGGTTGGAGGCCATCGCTAGAAGGTTGGAGGCCATTGCTAGTAGGTTGGAGGCCATCTCTAGTAGGTTGAAGGACATCGCTATTAGGTTGGAGGCCATCGCTAGTAGGTTGGAGGTCATCGGTAGTAGGTTGGAGGCCATCGCTAGTAGGTTGGAGGCCATCGCTAGGTGTCAGAACAAAAGCTGTGGACCAGTGAGGCTCTCCCCTTTTACATCCTGATATTGCTTCTCTTCCCATACAACCCAACCTCAGTCTCTCAGTGCGTGATACCGGCGATCCGGCCGTAGCACTGGTTCTGTTCTTCGTTAGGTCGTTGTTTCTTCTTTGGGTTCTGATCGGCTTTGAGCTTGAACTTGAACCTGGCTCCTCTGACTTTAGAAAATCCTGTTTGATCTGGAACTGTGTTCACATAAATTGTCTCGGACTTTACTTGGGTTGCGTATCCGCTGCAACCCCCAGTCTGTGCGATATGTGCGGAGCAGTACTTTGTGGAGCAGTGATGTCGGTACAGTCTCAGAAATTCTTAGCCCCTGGGCTGACCCCTGTGAGATTCCGACCACATGGTGATCTTCAAGATCCCTTTCCTTTTCAAGCCTATTCCACATTGAAAGTCCTTATGGAGAGTTTACAGCTCAACATGAAGCTTTGCCTCAGCCTTTCTTCAATCTCCTTCTTCTCCTCTTCAATCACTCTACACTTGCGACTGAATCACGTCCACGTAGATAGACCATAGACACGAAACAGTTGGAAAGCCTTTTTAAGGGATGGACAACATGAAAACTAATGAATCATGCCGATTGTAACCAAGGGTTGTGGTTGCACACACGCAGTGCTAGAGTCTGCTAGAGAAACCTGTAGACATTGCTGGGATTCTCAAGCAAAGACAAGGCAGGTTCGGTGGCTAAAACAAATGAATGTGATTAGGGACAAATCAAACACAAGCTGAGTAGAATGGAAGGAGTCTGACGCAGTGGCTGCCTCCAGTGCTCGTTCTGCAGCCTTCTGCTTTTCTTCCAAAGCCTGAATCCACTGAAGGATGCTTAACCCAGTTGCTTGAACTCACTAGAGGCTAGAAAAAAATATACTAGCGATGGCCTCCAACATACTAGCGATCACCTCAAACCTACTAGCGATGGCCTCCAACCTACTAGCGAAGCACAATGGAGCAAAACGATGCCAAATAGATTGCCTGGAGCTGACGACAGAGCTCTTCTCTTTGAAGCTTCTCCTGTCTGAGCTGCTCTTCTATGACAGCCTGGGCGGACAAAAGGAAAAACTGACTGGGTCTTTGGTTGGAGGCCATCGCTAGTAGGTTGAAGGCCATCGCTAGTAGGTTGGAGCGCTCTTAGGTTGGAGTCCATGGCACGTGTTTGGATTTGTTCCAGCTTGCCTTCTCGTCAGTGAGTCTCTGGATGACATCCGTCTGCGAGTTTTCACAGATTGTCAGGGGTGAACAGCCAGCATGCGCAAGGCTTTTCTGAGCTTGCGTCCTTGCTCCTAGTAGCGATGCCAGGAGCCCCTAGTAGCGTCCTTGCTCCTAGTAGTAAGGCCAGGAGCCCCTAGTAGCGTCCTTGCATCTGACTTGCTTTCCAAATAGGAAAATGCAGGAAGAGGCACCAGCTGATTTCGCGGAAAGCGCAACTTGTTGAGTGCTTTGCAAGTGGCATTCTGCCCAAATTCATCTCGAGGGATCTCAAAATCAAATAAAAGGACGTTCCAGTTTTTCTAGTGATGGATGTCATGCAAATTGACAGAGCCCTCCGACAGGATTCTCTGACAGGATGTTTCTTCGAAAGATCCTGTGACAGAAAGACGAAATCCAATGCAGCGAATTGGTCGGACTTGCCTTTGGCAGAGCGTCAGATCTCCGGGCCACTTCCATACCTCACTTGATCATATTGATTAAAGCTAGCTGCAACAACTAGAACTGCAAAGGCTGTTTGAAGCTAGATGTTATAAATCGATATACATCTTATCAATCAGATTGTCAATCCTTTGGTTGTGTTTGTTTGTTGTTCCATTAGGTTCCCTTCCCCATTTTGCTGCTGTTGCAAGCTGGCAGCCTTCGTGGCTATGAATGGAGTGGCTTGCGTAGGCTTTTTGTCGCCACCTCAAGGGGTGATAATCCGAAAGATGTGTTGCTGTAACTTGCTGAGCAAGGTATGTTTCTGGTCTTGCGTAACAAGCCCTGCACAATCAATGCTTCATCATCCACCTCAAGGGCAAGGAAATTGAAGCGAACGCTACTAGGAGCAAAGGGCATCGCTACTAGGGGCTCCTGGCCGTACTACTAGGAACAAGAACGCTACTAGGAGCAACATGAACAGCACCAGCACGACTTTCTTGTGACTATTGGATGACTTTCTTGCGCCAAGCAGCTGGAACCTGCACGTCGACTCGGAAAGTGACTAGAGAAACAGTCTTGTCGTATCGAAGATGAACATGCAAAAAGAACCACGATCGTTTGATGAAAAGGGAGCATAGACCATCAAACCATAAATTCTAGATTACGTCCTATCACCACATGGGAACCAAACAAACATGAAGTCACAAACACACAGGCCTTTTTGCTGTTGCCTCCTCTCCAGAATCTGAACCTTGACTCCTTCTCCTGCAGCAAGTTGCATTGTCGGCAGTGCCATGAAAGAAGTGACTCAGTGCGGCTGTCCTCTTGAAAGTGGTTTGTCAGAGCGGCCACAATCTCTCGTCTCTCCATATCCTGAGTGACAAGTGCATCGCTAGTAGTAACAGGTGCCTTACTAGTAGTAACAATAAGCTATTAATTTAAATTAGTTTAGTTGTAATTCTAATAGCCTTTTTTTCTTGTTTAGCCCGCGGAGGGGGTAGGCCGCTTAAAACTACGAACTGGACGCAGGATAGCGAAGGCGCTAATGATTTGGTTCGATCTTTAGGGAAACTGAAGGTTCCTAGAAGTCGCATGAGTATTGAGTGAGAGTGCTTCATGTCCCCTGCCTTTTCCTCGATACACTTGGACATAGCCAAGGCCCAGGTCGTGTCCTACCAAAGTCTCAGCCTTTCTACAGAATTGCTTACACTTGCAGAGACTGTCCTTTTCTGTCGCCAACTGCTGCCTCCAGATTCGCTGCACTGACTCATGAACAACGGCCAAGGTACCCAACATTAGCCAATTCAAAGTCTTAGACTCAGCTCGAGGCAACTCTGCGGCATGCGTTGAATCCTTTGCGGCCATGTCCACCTCAGGAACTGTATGCCTTCACAGTGAACTGTTGGTGGCCGTATACTCACCGGGCGGCCGTATACTTCTCATCTTTCTCAACAACCATATCATCGTAAAGCTTGTCTTTCGCAGAGCCAATCGCACGGATCTGCACTGTATACCAAAGTTCCTGCAGCAAACTGGTGATATTCTTTATTTCACAGCAGGTAGTCAAAAATCACATGCAATCTGCAAACAACAATGGCTTTCAACAGGTCCTTCTCTTGGAGAGTTCTGGCTGATGAGCTTCTCTCCTCTCACGTCAAGCGAGTCTGCTAGGATTTTGCTCATATGACTGAAGCCTAACACAGCTGCAACGACTTGCTTGGGAACAAACTGCTTTTCTCAAACACTCTGCCATGCGCATTTACACTTTGTCCCACTTTGTCCTGCTCCAGCTCAGCCCTCACCTCGGAGACCTGTGCCTCTCGCACTGCCTCCAACTCTCTTCTCTGCGAGTCTAAAGAAGTTCGGAGAAAGGCATCCTGCACGAGTGCCACACACACTGCCACACACTCAAAGGGACTTGAAACAGGTAGAAGTTGTAGCTTCTTGCTACTAGTAGCGATGCACTTGTTGGTAATAGGATGCACCTTGTTCCTAGTAGCTTCTTGCTACTAGTAGTTCTTCTACTTGTTCACTTTGCCGGTGTTATCGCTTCTCGAGTGAAGACATCTCTTGTCCCGCAACTGTGATGGAGTCCTTTGCTTCCACAGTTGCGCAAAGCTCATCCTCACAAATAAGCTTGTCTGTTCTCTAGTGTTTGTCATCCTAATGCACTGCTTGAGAATGCAAATCAAACATATCGAGCAATGCAACTCTGTGATGCTTCCCTTCCTTGCCTTGTGGAGCTCCTTAAGAGTTTCAACCTTGTCAAGGAAGTCATTTCACCCTTCAAACTTGTCAAATCTGGTGATACTCTGTATATTCTATAGATTTCCTATAGATATACTGTAGCACATACAATTCAAACCTATGTTTCCCTATTAAGGCTAAACTGGAGCAGTAAGTAGCAGTATAGACCCATAAAAATCACCTAAGGCGGCGAAGCGACTTGATTAAATTCACAGTAGAGTTGCTGTTCCAGGACTGTCCGTAGTCTTGCTGCTAATTGCTCCTAGTAGCTTCTTGCTCCTAGTAGTAGGGCCAGGAGCCACTAGTAGCGTTCTTGTTCCTAGTGGTAAAAGCACCTCTCATGTGATTCATACAGAAAACACCTCTCATGGTGCACGAACTGCGAATTGACCAATACCACAATTTGATCCGCCACGGGTGTCTGTCCGCAGAGCTGATACGCATGGTGCCAGGCATACCAGTGTTATACCAGTGGGGAATGCTCTACCAACAAGGCTTTCCCTTGGAAAAGGCAAACAGTTCTACCATACCAAGCTGAACAGGCTTTTGGACCAAAAGGTATGCTCCCTGCACATCCCTAGGCACCTCTTGGGCATGCTCCTGCTCAAGACGATGCATGGCAGCTGCCATGGCAGCACGCTCTTCGTCCTTGGTGCATGTGGCAATGAGTCAGAACTCAGAACAGCAAGAATCAGTTGACATGTTCCGAGATGCATGATCAAAGTGTGTCAAAATTACCCGAAGGAGCAAGGGACGCTACTAGGGGCTCCTGGCCTTACTACTAAGAGCAAGGACGCTTTTAGGGGCTCCTGGCATCGCTACTAGGAGCAAGGACGCAAAACGGAGATGTGAGGAAGAGAAGAAAAAAGACGACAAGTCGAACATGTGACGCCAAGCATCCATGTCACGGCGGAGCGCCTAAAGCGAAAGAAATCGGCACAAAGTCGATGAGCGTCAGAAGTCAGTCTCACTGATAGAAACTAATCTGTCTACCAAATGGTGGCCGTTGCTAGTAGGTTGGAGGCCATTACTTCTAGGTAGGGGCACTATGACTATTCTTATTTATGGTTCTCTTGCACGATTGCTTGCTTCTCTAATCTCCGAGTTCCCAACAGCCAAAGCATCTGCGAATTCCAGGTCCTAAAAATGGAAATGGACATGAGATACATGCAATACAAACCAATGAAATGTGTTTTTCTTGAAATGTTCATGCTTTTAGCAACACACAAAAATCAAAGCCACAAATTGGCTGAAAACTCTTGCAACCCAGCAACTCGTCTTGATGTCTCCTTGGAAGTAAACAACAATGGAGCGCTGAATGCTTTCAGGTCTGCCGGTGCAGGCATTCCAACAACGTACGAAAGTTTCAGCATTTACATTCAGAAGAGCATCTTCCGCATGTGCTCGGTCCCGTTCTTCTAAAACCGACTGTGCTGCTTGCCTTTCTCTTTCCATCCTAAGCTTTCGCATTCAATGCACAAAGCTAGAGTCGGCTAAAGGCTTCGGCCGACTCAAAAAGGACAGAGAGCCAAATAACTCTGCCAAAGCGCTGTTGATGCAAATCCGCACATGTCTCTTCATGCTCTCCTCAGGTCCGGCCAAGAGAAAACTGCGTACGCTGCGGCAAGCTAGCAAACAGGCACACTGAAGAATTTAACTGGTGGATGCGATCTTTCAAGGAGGCGTGGAACGCATTTGCAGAATAAGAAAGCACAAAAACGAAGAACCAAACCTGCACATGAACTAGCTGGGGGAAAGGACAAATGTGTGCCAAGCATGTCAAGCACAGCTGAATAAGCTCAATATTCAACTAGGGCAACCACTACGGTCTCCTGGTCCCTATCAGGTTGGAGGCCATCGCATCTAGGTTGGAGGCCATTGCTCTTAGGTTGGAGGC